AAAGAGAGAGAAAGAACTTAGGTAGATGTGGCCACTTTCTCCACTTCTGAATCCAGCTAGAAACTGGAGGCAGGCAGTAGTGATAGGAACTGAGCACAGAAGACATGCCTCCCTCAGATAAGGTCTGTGGAAGTGAACGCCCAGGTGCATAGGCTCCTCCTAAAAGGATTGTAGCTTCATGCTAAGAGCCTAGGGGACCTCCTGAAGGCCATTGGTCAATGCCAAGGGTACTGTCTCATCTCCCCAACGCTTCATGAACCTGCTAGGTTGTAGGTTCTGTAAAACGTAAAAGAGGAATTTACAGGCTTCATTTTGAGACATTTCCCCTGGTGTATCCCTACGTAAATTTTCCCTTTTGTTAAAGTTCCCTAGAATATAAGCCGAGGGAAATTAGGGGCTTTTCCTGCCCTGGTCTGTACTGAATCCCTAGGACCAGAACTATGTTTGATGTGTAGTATGTGCTTAATAATTTTTTTTGAATGACTGACTTTCAAGAGATTGGATTGGAGATATTTCGAAGGCCACACCACATCAGGAGAGAGGAATGTACTCAAGCACACAGACTCCAGTCTACAAGTAGTTCAGATAATGGGGCTGGAGAGGAGCAAATGTAGTCGGGGTGTTGGAGACACAGGAGTGGGTGTCAGGGGCATCCAAGGAAAATGACGCTGGAGGAGGTTGAGTGTGGCCTAAAAGGTGGTCACTGCAAAAGGCATTGCTGGGGTTCTTAGGAGTCACATGGGGGATGCAGCTCATCGTTGCTTGTGGCATAACCTCTGAGACCCTGGACCACAGGGCCAGGCCAGGCAGTGCTTTGTGGGCTCTGGAGAAAACTGTGCTCCATCTTCTGAGCACCTCATGCCTGGCTGGTCCAGGAGGACTGAGAGTGATGATAAGATTTTCCTTCATTATTGTTCAGGAACATATGCCAGTTTCGTCTCTAAGCAAGTTTTCAGGATTTCTGGCAGGTGGTTTCCATGTTACAGAGAAGAGACAATGGAGGAGCCCTTGCGTTAATCCTCCTGGGAGGCAACACCAGAGCCAACAAGTTGAGATAACTAAGCTGGTTCCGTGGTGGTAGAGGGCCTCTAGCCTCTGGCCAGGCATGTCCACAGGCAGAGGACAGTCCTACAGCATGGCTTGCCATCCATCTCACCTGCCCGTCTGATTGGATGGATGGCACCCCATAATTTCTCTTCTGTCTCTATTAGTAGCAGCCTGGCATTTCTCTTTCTGGGCTTAGTCGCCTCTTAGATTCTTTCTTTTTGTTTCTATACCATCTGCTCCCACAGATAGCTTGTCTCTCAAATTAGAGCAACCAAAGGAGGAAAAACTAAATCAAATATCTGTCACCTTCTCAACCTAGCTGAGATGGTCTGTCTCAGTAGGATGCACAGTTGTTGGGCTTATAGGCTCAGGAGTCTGCACTCCTGGGTTCCACTCCTTTTCATGTGTTACTATAGCTCTCTACTTCTGGAAAATCCATGTAACATTTGCAAACTCTGAAATTCTTATAAAACAGGTTCTGATAGAAGCGTTTGGTGGTTACTCTGAGGCTTAAGATAGATAATGTATGTGAAGTATTTAACATTAGGCATGGCAGAGAACAATGCCTATTTTTTGCCTTTTTTTGCCTTTTTTATTTCCATTCATTTTAATTTTAATACTTTACCTCTCTGTAAGGTATATATCTGTGAAGAATGAAAGTAGGAATAGTAAAAGGTGGAAGCATTCTTCTCTGTTATTTTTAAGTCATGTTTCTTTTGTACAGTACCAGGGTGCTGTCAAAAAGAATCAGTTTTGCACTTGCTAGACAAGCACTCTACCAACCAAGCCACACCTGTAGCCCTGTTTGCTTTAGAGTATTTTCCAGATCACACACTCTTTTTCAGGCTTGTTTCAAACCAAAATGCCTCTTGCATAGCTAGGATCAAACTCATGAACCACTCCCCATGGCTTTGTTCACTAAGATATAGTTGGTAGTGGATGACCTTACTGATCAAGTTAGAAAAGGTGATAGATACAATTTTGTCATTTTCATTCCCCCTTTTCTTTTTCACTTTCACCTTTCCTTCCTTCCTTCTCCCACTCTATTTCCACATGCTCTCAGAACCCCAAGCTACCATGTAAGAAGTCCATAGACTGAAGGAGCTATGGAGGACTCCACAGAAATAGAAGCCCCTGCTCCAATTATTTATCTTCTAAGCCCAAGGCAATAGACATATAAATTAAGAATCTTTGCAATAGACTTCAGTTTTAGCCACCAAATGCCTGCAGTTTCATGAAGAACCCTAGATCAAAGTAGCCCACCTCAGCTGCTCTCAAATTTCTTAACCCGTAAAGACCATGATAGCTATTAAGCAATTACTGATTTTTTTTAATGTTCTGGAGGTATTAGGGTTTGAACTCAGGCATCTCACTTGATAAATGAGCTAGCTCTACCTCTAGCTGTTTTTGAGCCACTAAATTTTGTGCTGATTTGTTGTGTATTGATAGAGACAAATATACAGAGTTGTAACTAGCCATGTGATAAGTATCAGTTTTACAAATGCAAAAACCAGGCTTTGGAAAAATACACATGTGAGATGTCACCAGGAAGATGCAAAGCTGGGACACAAACACATGTCCATGTGACTCCAGAGTCCATGCCTGAGCCACAGCACCATTGGCTGCTCAGTGACATCGGAGGAAATGGGTAAACACATTTTCCTTATCTGCCCACAGGTTTCCGTACTCTGGGATTAAACATGTGATCACTTCGTGTTTGTCAGAGCACCACCTGCTCAAAACACTCTAGGATCTTAGTTAACTTGCAGAAACAGCTTTGAAGTGGAGTTTCCAGAAGGTTCTCAGTGGCACACATTTCTCAGTGGCACACATCTCCTTGGGAACAGTGCAGGACTCTGGGTGAGCTCCGGACATCATTGCTAATTGGCAGTCCCAGGTTGCCCTGGTCAGGTCTGGAGAAGGCTGCTGTGGAGTGTCCAGCTTAAGGTAGACCCAGAATAGCCATATGGTGTGTGGTGGGAAATAGCTGGGTAAGTGGAACAAACAAGCCTGAGGAGTGGGAGAACAGCTGAGAAGGAAATGAAAAGTGGTGCAATGTAACAGAAGCTCCAAAGAGCAAGGAGAAAAATATTCACAGACAGGACTGGTGAACGCGCCTGAGAGACAGACAGCAGGGCTCTTCTGCTGCCCATGGAAAGTGCTGATCGTGTGGGATCAGCCACAGGAGGTGTTCACATCACCGTCCACTTTAACATTGCCACCCTAACCTTAACTGAGGTATTTTTTCAAATGTTTCCCAGAAGACAAGGCTCAATTATTCAGCTTAACACCTGCCAAGCTCCTATCACATGCCAGTTGATGAAGAGACATACATAATATAAATAACACATTTTTCTACCCCGGAGGAAATTGAAGTCAGTTAGGGAATAGTAGGTTTGGGGAGATCTGTTGTGGACCAGGGCTTATACAGGATGATTTAATTAAATGATCACATTTCTTCTTGGCATGGATATTATAAAGTAGGCATTATTATTCTTACAAGAAATGGAACATAGAGAAATTAGGTAACTTGCTTAGAGTTACACATGGAAGGCAAGTGCTTGTATTTTAAGTCAGGCTAATGTAATTCTAAACCCATAGTTGTTCTCCTGTAGACCCTGACTCTTAGGCCTATGAGTTCATAATTACATTTCTGTGCAGCTTGTTCAGAGGGCTTTGAGTGTGCAGAGGAGAAAATGGTTAGTTCTGCTTTGGATGAGGTCTGGGGAGAGATGTTGTTTCACAGAAGTTATTAGATAAGAGTGGTGAATAGTAAGGATGAACTCAGCAGGGAGAGAAGTGCATTGTAGGTGGAGGGAGCCGCATGTCAGAAGGAACAGTAGGTTTGGGAGGCCCTGAAAGGAGGTGAACCCAGAAGGACCTACTTGATTATGAAAGAGTCTAGATCTGTAGGCAGTGGGCAGAGCTAATCAGAAAGGCCACCCTGGGAGCTCTACGGATTGTGGCTAGGAGCAGGGAACACGTGGACAGTTTCACCCACATATTCTACTGACGATTCAGAATTTCAAAATTTTCATGATGAAATGTATGGTCTCTTTTCTTCCTGCTTGCAAACTCTGATCTGCTATTAGGGCCTCAACTTAGTGAATACCCACCATGGATCTTTGGCTGGGACAGAGGTGGATGGCTGGATAGCATTAAGTTTCCGTGAGCCTGCATCAGGCCCTGTCATGAAATTTGGTGGCAATTTTGTAGTGACAAGTTGTGTGGATCTTAGAGAGTTGTGTCAGTTTCTCTTAAATTTTTTCTTTTTAAACTTTTTCAAAATTGTATTTTCAATATTTTTTTTTTAGTGTTTTGGAGACAGGATCCTCCCTATGTAACCCAAGTTGGCCTCCCCGCATCTTCCTGCCTCGGCCTGAGATGATAGGTGTGCTGCCCATACCTGGCCTCTGACATTCTTTCTACTCAAGTGTTTGCACTCTTATCCACACTTGGACTCCTGCAATGGTTTATGCTCAGGTCTTTCTGTGCTATTTTGCCACTGGAAATTTTATCATCGTAGCATTTTTTCTCAAAAAGAAAGTAGATCTGTTCTTTCATCAACTCAAAACCCAGTCACAGTTTTCACTGAGAGTAAAAGTCAGAGTCCTTCCCAGTAGGCCCATTCACAATCTGATCCAGTTTCCTCTGATTTTCACCCATTGTTTCCTTCAGTTTATACGTTCACTTACAACACTATAGCCATACTTGCCAAGCCCCTCAACTGCAGAGCCTTGATTCCAGGTTGCCCTGAGTTTAGCTCTGGCCCACTGTAGTTTCAGAGATAGACCCATGTAATTTTGCTTAACCTATGTATTCATCAGTGCTTAACATCTTGCCATCCTGATTCCCAACTACTGATAATAATCTTCACTTGTTGGAAAATTCTAAAGCTCAGAAACCATTTTTATATTTCTTCTCCCTTGTAAATCATTGTCTTCCCTTTACAGAGACAAATAATGGGACATTAACCCACAAAAATCAGTAGCTTTTCTGTTGTCAACAATGAGAAGAACAAGACTGAAATCAGGAAAGCAACTCCATTTGCAATAGCCTCAAAAAAATACCTAGTAATGAACTTAACCAGAGATGTGAACAACCTCTATGATGAAAACTTTAAAAATCTGAAAAAGGAAATAAAGCAGATTTAAGGAAATGGAAAAACCTTCTGGACTTCTGGATTGGAAGGATTAACATAGTGAAAATGGCAATACTGACCAAAGCTATCTACAAATTCAGTGTAATAACCATCAAAACAACATTCTTCAATTATATAGAAGAAGCACTCCAAAAATTAGTATGGAATAATAGAAGACCCCAAATAGCATAAACAAGTCTTATCAGGAAGAACAGTACAGGAGGAATATCAATACCAAATTTATAGGCATGAGGACCAATGGAATAGAATAGAAGACCCAGAAATGAACCCACAGACCTATAGCCACCTAATTTTTGATAAGGGAGCCAAAAGCACAGGATGGAAGAAAGACAGCCTTCAACAAATGGTACTGGCAGAATTGGTTACACATATACAAAAAACTGGAGTTAGATCCTTATATATCACCCTGCACCAGAATCAATTCCAAATGGATCAAAGACCTCGAGGTAAGAGCAGATACCCTGAGAATATTACCGGAAGGGGTAGGGAATACAATAGGGATCCTTGGCACAGGTTGAAACTTCCTAAGTCAGGACCCAGAATCACAACAAATCAAAGAAAGACCAGATAAATGACTGCATCAAAGTGAAGAGTTTCTGCATGGCAAAGGTCATAGCTTGTGATAAATATAAAGCCTACAAAGCATCAGACAAGGGTCTCATATCTAAAATATACTTAGAGCTAAGAAGATACCGCCCCTCAACCAAATCCTCAAAGAAACAACTACCCAATTAATAAATGGGCAAAGGCTTAAAAAGAGACTTCTCAGAAGAGGAAGAATGGCCAATAGACACATGAAGAAATGTTAAACATTTCTAGTCATAAAAGAAATGCAAATCAAGACATCATTGAGATTCTCCCTCACCCCCGTTAGAATGGCCATTATCAAGAAAACTAAAAATAATGGATGTTGGCTGGGATATGGCTAAAAGAGAATGTCTATTACACTGTTGTTGGGAATGTAAAGTTGTTGAACTACTCTGGAAAGCAGTATGGAGCATCCTAAAAAAAACCATAGAGCTTTCCTCCCACCCAACAATCCCATCCCTGGGCATTTATCCAATTGACCACAAACTAGGCCACACTAAAACCACCAGCACAACCATGTTCATTGTAACATTGTTTACCATAGCCAAGATTGGGAATCAATTCAGATGCCACCCAGTAGATGGCTAGATCAAAATGTAGAATATATACCCCATGTAATTCTATGCTTCCATTAGCAAGAATGATATTGCCTCATTTTGTAAGGACATGGAAAATCTTGGAAAAAATTAAAGTAAGCCAGACCCAAAGAAACATAATTGCATAGTTTCCCTTGTTTGTCATAATTAGAATGTGCCTATAAATCTACTGATAAACCCAATGGATAGTAAAAGATAAGATACACGTGGACATGATAAATTGAACAGAATTCTAAGCATCCACACAGTAAGACCAAAGGAGGATATTGTTAGGAGAGGATCATAAGGGCTCAGTAACTGTGCCTATGGTGATATAAAATGATGCTTATCAAAATGAACTGCAAGAAATGGAAGCAAGAGACTTTTTATTTTAGTTCTTGTGGCCTTTTTTCTGTTTTTTTCCCTTTTGTTGCTGTTTTTGATTTCTGTAACTTTTGTCTTCTATTGAAGTTTATCTGATTTGGGGAGGGTAAGAGAAAGCACACAAATGGTTGGACAAAGGGTGAACTAATTCAGCAGCGATACTCACTAGACACTATGTTGGAAATTAACTATGCAACTTGGAGGGGAGGGAGGTTGTGAGGCAAAAACTTGGGAGAAAATGAGGGAGGAGTGACACTGTTAAAAAAGAAGTATATTCAATACCTGGCTTGTGTAACTGTAACCCCTCTGCGTGTTACATTTATAATAAATTTGTTTTTAAAAAGAACACTGGGATTATAATTGATTTGTCTGTAAACTACTTCTACTTGGACACCTTTGTGTCAGGCATTGAAAATATTTTATGGCCCTTGATTACAAGAGACTCATAAAACAGGCATTGTTTTCTGTGTCTTGCACCTGCTAGTTCAGTGCCTGATTGTCTACGTAAGTGATCTAAGGTCACATTGCCCATCACACCCAGGTCTACCTGATTCCAGAATCTATTCCCTTTCCAGTGCTTTCCCTGCTCATCCCAGTTCTCCATGCTGCTTTCCTACTTATGAGTTCAGTGAAGGCAGATGACATGGCTTGTATTTCTTTTTATTCACTTTAGGGCTAATTTTTACTCTTACACACTTTAGTGCTAATTTTTACTCGGCCATAGTTTAGTAATACGTATGATGTGATTAGTTGTAAGTATGGACTATATTAGTTTTGCTCTTTTCCTCCTAATATATCTGGAAAGAAATGTTCCTTTGTCTCCTTACAGGAAATAGCCTTAAAGGAGATATACTTCCATTTATGTTATCATTCACTCGGGGCATAGAAATCTCAGAACTATCTAGCTAGCTTCTCAAAGCTTTTCCTTCAAAGCACAGGTTTATTTTTCAAATGATATTTCACATATAACTGCAATATAAATCCAATAGTTTTGAGGTTTGAAAAGCAGTCATCCTCCCTAAAGAGGGTGCAGGGGCCTACCACACAGCACACTGCTGAAAAGTCAGTTACCTCGTAAAATCTCTAAACAAGTGAAAAATGAATAAAATAATTTGTTTTGAGAAATAAGTTGAACTACCTGTTAAGACAGCTCCTTAGTTCTTCTTTTAACAATTGTGTCTGCATATCCTTGAGAAACTATCTGTAAAAAAGGAGAAAGAAATTATGTGGACATTGAACTGATGTACTGCTCTTGGTCTTCCCTGAATGACTTCAGATTTTGAAGTCATCAATTTCAATGAAACAAATAATTTTTTAAAGTGGAAATTGGAAGTAAGGGACTTGATATTTCAAAAACTAAAACTTTCCAACATAGTGTTTTGTACATCTCATTGTACCTGTATCCTTATTTCAGCATTTTGTTACCTTACTCATGTAATAACTCATGTAACTGTACAGAATTTTTTTACAATAAAAATATATACAGAAAAAAACTAAAACTTTTCCTCTCTATACTTTATGTACTCTTTGAAGGGGTTACTCTCCTCTTCATTGAAGTTGGGTCATTCTACTCTTGGGATTTGAAGATGCAACCAGAAGGGGTCTTAACACTACATAATGTTGTTCTCTGAGGGATGGCCACTCCAATTGGAGGGTCTTATTCTTCCCCTCAGCCTGCTCCAGACAATTCCAGTTTTTATTTGACACTCAAACCAAATCATCTCTTTTCTTCGAATCCATCTTTGGTTGCCTCTCTTGGTATTGTTTTTTCTGTCCATAGCTTGGACACCTTTTCCAATCCCCCTCTTTACATTAAAAACTATGTTATATCTCCTAATCTGAATTGCATAATATGCTTAGCTCCATAGGAGAAAACGTTTAGGTTGGTGTTACATTTTGGCACTACAAACAAGTGTTTTAGTGAATATTGTGGTACTTTCATTTGGTATCTAGTTTGCAGTAGATACAGGATAAGTTCCTACCATTAAAGCTGTTGGATTAAAAAGCATATGAGTTATATTTCTGACAGCTGTTATTAGTTATCTGAAACTGATCTTCTGTACACTCTCACCAGCATTGGGTATCATAAATATTTGGATGGAATTTATTTGGCTTTTATGTGTTTGTTAGGTACTTAAATACACATGTATGTACTATCGACTCTGATAGATGAAATATACCTACTATATGTACATTGTATCTGTTATAGAATGAATGCTTATTATATTACTAAGTTAAAATGGTGGCATTTGGAAGTACAGCCTTGTGGAGGTGATTAGAGAAAGGAGCGCCCATGAATGAAGACACCACATAGAGTTCCGGGGTCTTTTGTGTGAGGACACAAGCTGGCCATCTGTGAACAACAAGCGTGTCCTTTCTGGGCACCTAAAGTGCGAGGCTTTGACCTTGGACTTCCCAGCTTCCAAAACTGTGAGAAGTACGTTTATTCTGTGTATAACCTGTCCATCCAGTTCATGATATTCTATGTGAACTAACACCACACCCTTTACATTTTTCTCTAGAGAAAAGACTTTCTAGGTGGTGTGACACTGAACAAAGATCATCTATCTTGAGTCCTAGTTTCCTTATTTGAAAAATGGGGTTAAGAATGCCCACCTCACCAAGATGCTGTAAGGGTTAAATAACAAAGTAAATAAAGAAGTAACCCAGTATTTGACAATGCCCAAGGTTTGGCAGGGACCTTCTGCTATTGTTCCCTCCATAGGAGACACAATGGAACCTAGGGGAGGAAAATTAGTGCATCCCATTATCATACCTACCATCTGCTGACCGTTGATCACACCTGGTTACCAGTCTGACTTCTTTAAGACAGGCTCACTTCATGCTTGTCACCATGGTGTGCAGCTACGCACACATTAGGGTAGACCTTGTTATTTTATTTTAGACCCATTTTAATTTCCACGCTGATGGATTCTGAAGTCTAGACCTCAGACTTGTAAACAGTCCTCTTGTAAATCAGTAGCAGCATAACAAGTTGCCACCTCTTATTTATCTCAGTCAGGCTGACAGGCTTCCTGCCAGTGTCCAGTGTCCTGGCTGATGTGCTTCCTTAGGCAGCAGGTTACTACCATGCCTTTCTTGGGTGTGAGTGCACATTTATAAGTACCACCTGCTGAGGTTCAACAAAAACACTGATTAATGAGAACAGCTAGAGAAAAACAATAAGCATGTTTACTTCAACAAAGAAAAAAAATGATTATTTAATCTGCCTAAAGACTGATTTGACATGTAGTGAATGAATATTGTTAGAAGCCCTACCTCTGAAATCAGGTCTGAATGCACCTCCGATAGCCAAAAAAAGTTTAAAAAGTTGTGGACTTAAGTATTTTTCAAGTAAGTGTTTAAGTGGTTATTTTGAAATGAGTATAAATCATCAACTTTATTTATTTATGTATATGTTTATACAAATTGCAATGTGTTTTTAACTCTTATTTTTATGTATTTTAG